CAATCTAGACCACGCTAAGTCATTTAGTGTAGTTTCAATCTACTAGTTAGTCTGTGGTTTCAATATTCGTGCAGTGTGAAGCGGCGCTAATAATACAAGATTTCAAATTAAAGTTTAAACCTGGGCGTAAGTAACAATTCAGTAGTCAAGTAAGTAAAATTATTTGTTGTTCAAGTGAATAAATAGGTAATGATATCCGTAATTTTACAAAAGAAACAATCATGAAAAAATATATTTTTTTATATAAACTGGCGTATGCGCAACGCGCTTAAATCAACTGCGCATGCGCGACTGTACTATCTCCCGCGCATGCACGAATACATAGAGTAGTGCACATTTTTGTTTAGAAAGGCTTCTCTAGTACGTAGTACATATAACTCAATGCTTCTTTATTTGAAGTTGGCTGCAGTTGTCCCCTGGTTACAGTAGCCCGAAATATCTGTAAAAGTTATAATGAAAAAAATAAAAAAATATGTTCTTATTAAGGCTCAGCTTAATTAGAGTATATTTAAAGTTTAATTTTATAAAAATTTTGCACTTGCTAAGTTTAATTATTATATTAAATCAAAAATGAAATTATAAATATCTAAAATTTAAAAGTTAGGTTAAGAAGTGACCGGGTTAATTAGAGTACCAATAATAAAAAATGTAACGTGTTTAAAACGTTATACTAAATTTATTTCATACGTACGATTAGATTAATATGAATCGTAAGAACTTGTAATATCGTTTTAATTTTCCTTTACAGTGGAATTTCTCACGTATGTGACACATAAGGCATTTATAGCAGAAAGAAGTGCAACGAGGAATGGTCCGGAATGTTGCTTCCGATACCTTTTCAGCCCAACATTTGATTGGTTCCTTGATCACATGCCGTTTCATTGTATTTTCGGTTTTATATTAATGGTATAAGAACAATTTTTGCCATAGTTTACTATTTTTAAAATATTACTTTGTTTCAGATTTATCTTCACTATCATTATCACTTCAGCCCATCGCAAGTCCACAGCTGAACATAGGTCTCCACCACAGAATGCTTCAAAGTACGCCTTTGAACCACCTGCCTTTATCGACTCCGTATTTTATCAAGTATTTGCTCCACTTAGTGAAGAATCGAAAGAAGAAACGAGAACGAGAACGCAGCCGCCTCCCGAGAACTTAACTATATGGCCATTACCGATTTAACTGACTGATCTGCTGCCCTTTATCAGTTATAAGTCTATTATTAGATTTCTATTATTATCACAGTAATTAGATTTGTCTTAGTCGTGCATAATATGACGCAGTTGATTGCGTGTTCTTGTGACCTTGTGAGTATTTGACCAAATTCCAGTCCACTCGTACATCTCTTAAAAAAAACAATTGTTTATTTTCGAATTGTCATCATAATAGCCTATCTAAAGTCCATTGCAGAACTAAGACCATCCATCTATATCTACCATCGATACCATCAGGTGAACTGTGTGCTCGTTTGTCACCCTTATTCTATAAAAAGAATACGTAATAAACTACGACGATGTCACTCAGAATATCGACGTCAATTTAAGAACTGCTTAGAATTAATCTATCCCTTTTCATTAATGACAAAAGAAGGAGTCTCAGGCGTGGAGATAATTAATACATAATTGAGGTAAATATATAAGCGGTAATTAACGACTATAAGCGAGGTCGATTATGACTAATTTAGATTTTTAAAGCCTTTACTATCAAAGTAGAGGCTGCAAATACATTTCTTTCATTAGAAAAAAGTGTTCCATATTTGAATTGAATGAAAACCTACATGGACTAGAATTTAAATTACGATAATATGACAGATACCGTAAAATAAAGCCTTTCTTTAGTTTCACTAACTTAGCATCAGTTCAATTAATTTACTTCCATCCAAATAAATACTTCAACAATAAAATGAATTCAAATGACATATTAAAATTAACTGTCGATTTTATTAATTTTTATAAATTTTACACGTGATCAAAAATTAAGAAATGTCATCTTTACATCTTTATCAACCTCTCCATTCCGGGTAAAGGCATTGTTAAGAATGTATTTACTTAGAAATATTCACCATATTTATGATGTAAATGAAGCGAAGGTCGGATAGCGTCGCACTAATAATCTGGTATCCTAATATCAGTTAATAAAAATACGGTTGATATATTTTTTAATTGATTTTCTATTATTCACTAATCACAAGAGCCAAAAGCCTATGTTGTTAGTTCGTTCGGTGGGACGGAGACTTCAGCTTCGTTCAGATCTACAGACATTAAGCTTGCCAGACACGTGGCGTGGCAGATAAAATAATATTCCTTTATACACTATATATAAATATATTCACATCTAGCGCACGAAAGCGGAGCGTTTCCGCGCAGACACGGGCCGGTACCGGCCAGCATTCTCAACAAAAATGTTTGGTCTGTGCCGGACCGGCACTGCCGGTGCGTGGCTGCGGGTGTCTAATATACATTTTGGTATGATATGTGTGACCGCAGGTACAGTAAGAACCAAAAAATAGATTACGCATGGAAAGAATTAGCAGAAAAACTTCAAATTTCATGTAAGAAGGATTTTATTTATGAAAAATTATAGTTTACCTGATGACGTCTGTTCATGCCGGGTGCGTGAGATGTGTAAACTGTTGTCTGTGCGATGTCTGCCACGTTACATGCTGGGCACGCTACGTGCTGGTAGGTCTGAACGAAGCTTTCAGCGTGAAGGTTAAAAATACACGGTATGGTATGGTATTACTGTGTGCAGAGTGACGGCCCCTCAAATTGTATGCCAAATGCACCATTATACGCATCTCGACTTACCAAGTTGTAACATCATCTAGTGGGAGATGCCCACAAATACGTAGACAAGTTTTATTCCAAACGCAGGTCACCAAATGGCAAGCAGTTTGTTTAAGGAACTTAACAGATGTATTGGTGATGTCTTTGACATTATATCTTTCTTCGCGGTTTGCACATTTCAATAGGTTGCTACTTCAAGAAGAGAAAAAGGTTAGTATTATTAAGGGTACACATATTTTCAATTAATCATTTAACGTAGTCGTAATACCATCGAAGGAGGATATTTTTTATTTACGAGTATTTCCGGTACGCCAACCCGATTGTCGTATTTTCAAATTCACTAAAATTAAGCTTACGGGATTATTAATCAAGTAAGTCTTTTATTCCTAAATGGTACTTTAGCTTGCTGATTTTCTACATGTTTAGAGAAAAAGATAATGTCAATACGTAACGACGGCTGCGTGACGCAGTGGCTTATCATTGAGTTGCAGCGCTAAGGTCCGCGGGTTCAAATCCCGCATGGAACAAGTATTTGAATATAAATAGTTGTTCCGTGTCTGGATGTTTGGCCTTGTGAAATTTATGTATGTAAAGTGCCCCACGATACAGGAGAAAATCCAAGTGTAGAGGATGCGTTTAAAAAAATGAAATATGCCCATAAAATTAAACATATATTAAAAACGTATTTCTTCAAAATATAGATATTTTATATTACAATATTCTCCAAAGATCCTCGTCTCTTCATAACTGTTGTGGAATCTTGGCCTTTTGCTTGTATTATTTGCGATTTTTTTATTGCATAGTGAGGGTCCAGCACAAAATGATAAATAAGCTTGTATATATCAAGAGCTTTATCTGAAAGGGCGACCGGAAATTAAAACCCATACCGTGTGAGCTTATGCCAAAATATTTACTATTCGGTCAATATTTTGCTATTAAATTGAAGGCTCCGTGGCGCAGTGGCTTAGCAATGAGTTGTTGCGCTGGGGGCCGCGGGTTCGAATCCCGCATGGAACAAGTATTTATATGGCCTACAAATAATTGTTCCGGGTCTGAATGTTTGTCCACGTGCAATTTATCTTTGTAAACTGCCTCCACTACACAGGAGAAAATCCTAGTGTGTAATAAAAAAAATTGCATAGAATTTGCGAATTATTGCGTATATTATGATTTATGACGCTGAATATTTCTGCTTGGTGTGCAACTTACAGCAATAATAATATTTGGTATATCTGGTATTTTTACACTACCTAAAGTATTCGGAATTACAATTATAGTATTTTATCCAAGGTCAAAACAATCTACTTCGTCATACGGCGAGTCCATATCCCATATTATATGAATAATTTCCCTGAATCGCCGATAGTATATTTAGTTCATGTATTTATGTATGTATTACCCTGGATAAGGTTATTGTTAAACGAAATTTAATTTTCAGCAATACGAACGATTTGGAGGAATGCCTTGGTCCGATATACAAAAACACTATACCAAGTTGACGCGCCTTGTTATCTTGCTGGACGAATTTATTAATCCTTTTATTTTAATTTCCTTTACATGTAATTTATCATTCATTTGCAAGCAAATATTTATTTTAATTCAGTGAGTATATTTAGGATTTTTTTCTTCAAATTAATACATACCTAATCAAAATTATGCCTTCTTTACTTCTACGTAAGCGAATGGGTTCATGTCTTTGTCTAATAAAACTGAAGTTTCGAATGGAATTTACGGTCCACCTGGTGCTACATGGCTACAGCAGTTAATGAACACCTGCAACTTAAAACAAAGAAGGATACAGATGCGTTGTAACCTCTAAAGATTTACATGGGATGCCTCAAAACCAGTAAATATAACTTAAGACCGGAAGACAACAGTGTAAGTACTACTATTTGGCAGTAGCAATAGATAGGATTATGTTACCTACCCAAACTGATAGGCAGAAATAACAAACCATACCACATAACAAAAGAAAAAAGAAAAGAATTAATGCTTTAAAATAAAGTTTTCGTTTATTGTTTCATAATATATAAATTATTATATTTTTTTTCCAGAACGCTACAAAAAAATAATATAACCGCATCAAACAATATCCCAGAAGAAATGTTAAGCATGTAAGAACCCTTACAAACACACAAACTTCTTATATCGTATTTTGAAATACCACTGTTATGACCCTTAACACAATTATTTTATTATAGCGTTGATTGGTTGCCAATTATTTACCTTGCGTTTTCAACTGTTGTTGCCATTGCAAGAGCAGCATTACTTTCATTACTCTTGGCACATCATCATACGTTGACTCGTGAACCGTTAAATCTTTTACATACCGTACCTGCTTCAGTATACAATTATAAGGTTAATAATTTTATTTATTGAAATCACAATTCAAAAATATATATTTTCTCATCATCATACCTCATTATAGCCCATCAGAAGTCCACTGCTGTATATGTACAGTAAATAAATTGCCTTACTAGGGGAATATATGTCATTGTTACCATTTGCGTCACACACATTTGGCAACCGCAGCGTTTTTATTATTTTGGGTCGTTATCAGGAAGAGGCTGCTACCCATCTCCTGTTGTACATTCCTCTGTCGCTTCTTACGAAACCTACGAGATAATATGGGGTATTGTAAAATCCTTACACCGCTGCAACACGGTAATTTAAAGAAAAATATCTAATGTGATTAAAATTTAGTTGTAAAACTAGTAAAAAATTCCTTAAAAGCGTATTTATTTATAATCATAGAATTATTACGCATAGAATACTAGTACGCGCACCGAAAGTAAAGCAAGTAATACTAACGCGAAACCGCGTAAGTTGACTCAGCGACCCGTCAGTGCGCAACGTCACGTCTTACGGAGAAGAGCTCGCGAAAAATTGTAAAAATTACCGTTTGTGTTGTAAAATATTGTCACAACTGTGATGATAAACATAAAAGAAGTGATGGTATTACATTTCACATATAAGTTTATACATTTAATTCATTATAAGTACGTAAAACTAAAAAAAAAAAAATACTTGCCTAAGCTCTCATATTACAAATGTTGCTAGTTGTAGGGAAAAAATCACAATTTTCTTTTAAAAATATTTATTTTCTATTTGTGTTTAAAACGTTTAATCGCAACGCTCTGTGTAAAACTCAAATGTTTATATATATAGATACCTACTTCTCTAAGTGTTAACATTATATTAACTATAGGTGCCTATTTAAAATTAATACGGAGTGATCAGCTAATCGCGATTCGTCGACGCTATTTTAACGCAACTATTTTATTTTATTTGCTTTGTTTATTGTCTAAGGCTACGTTTTAGAGTATAGAATAAAAACTTATTTATTTACAACATCAAGAGATTATTAATAAGAACGCCTTTACTAACCAGATGTCACTTTACACCCAAACATTAACCAGATGTTACGTTAGACCCAAACAGAGCCTATTTTAACCGACTTCCAAAAAGAAAGGTTATCAATATATATGTACACTGATTTCTAAGCTTGATCAATTCGTATATACATGCTGAAATTTTGGTGGTTGTTGTCCCGCAGCCAAATTATACTGTTTCGATAATACTCAATTTGTTAAATTAAAAAATATTACCATTAAAGAAGGACAGATTTACAATAGTAATACCTCACAAGCTAGTCGGGGGTCCAGATTATTTTATGTCGTATCACTACGCATGAGAGTTCATGTTATGAACATTTATTAGTGGCCCTTCACTGTGTAGGAAGCGCGCGGTAGCGCGTACGATAGACGTAACAATACATTACGTCCAGCGAATTTTTTTTCAGACTTTATTATAGTAATTCGGTATAAGCTAGCCTGCACGCCCCACCTACTAGCGAGATATTGCTATTGGTTTGAGATCGCATTCGTGTTTTGTTTTTCTCGATTGTAAATCCGCCAATTTTTCATCCTAATAATTTTTATTTTAATAAATCTATTGTAGTACTAAGGCAAAATCATTTTACTTCGGGAAAACACCAATTAACATTTTAGCATGTATATTGGATCAATCTGTGTGTGTATATCCTTTCAAATAAAAAAATCTAAATCGGTTTAGAGATTGTAGAATTCTGAGGTAAAAAAAAATTAAAAATACACCGAATCGATAACCTCCTCCCTTTTTGAAGTCGGTTAAAATTAAACATTATACGATATGCTTATTGTATTCGAGCAAATTAATTGTGTTTAATAATATTCTTAAATTTTATTACGTCTGCATTTTTGTACCATTAATATATGTATAATAAAGTTATATTAGTACCATCATTATTGTGTTTATTTTATTCCATTTTATATTCTCATAAAATACATCTTCGGACGTAATACGTAATCTTTATTATATCGATTTTTTAAAATTAATCAAAAAATAGTGATTTGCACAATTTGATTGCAAACGCCAGAAACTGGTATCACTGAATGGCGTGTATGTGTCCGTGTGACGAGCGTAAGCACATTCGACTCGCACCCACTAACATAATGACGTTGCGTCATTTTAACGCTCGTGTTTTGTACTAGACTGTGTTTCTATGCGTAATATTTCTATGTTTAAAATATTTGATGCTAGGTGTCAGTTAACCTGATAATTAAAAATATGTTGTCCAAATAGGTCACAAAATACGGTATTTTTGTAAAATAAACAAAATTTTAGGTGTTAATTAATGTTAAAATATTAAAAGTTATATATATTGCTTAAATTTGGTATTTTCTACTTTCAGATGCAGAGATTTATGGATCAAGTGTTTTATTCCAATCTTAGTTTAAGTGGATGTAAAATTTTCTATGTTAACCGAGGATCAATTTTGTCTGTACGTATATTTGACGTTGATCATATTTCACAGAAAAAATATTTCGTGAAATTTCTTTAAAAATTAGGCTTTTTTCTCCCCCTAACGAGTACATGTGGAATGTACAGGGGTGCCTGCGCTATGTCCCCGAATTCTAATAATTGCTTTTTTTTTTAGATGATTGCAACTATAATGAAATATGAGCTTGTTCTCCTTCAATTTCCCGAGCGTTAAGATGGCTGTTGTTATTGAGCCTCATTTGCATATATATTTATAGAGTATAGTAGAGTATTAAACTTGAAGAAAACTAATAGGATGATCACAAATATTATTGTAACTTCATTAAAAATGCTAAGCATTAACGTGACTATTTTTTGCACTATTTAAAACTTAATAAATGTTGAAAATGTTTTAACTTGTTTTAACTAAAAAAAAGCAGATAGAGTTATAAAGGGTAATAACCTATCCGCCGCACCGTGTATCCTGATAATTGACTGATGAGGCACGACATCAATGAATGACGAAAAAGTCGTCTTAAATTCTGAAACAACTCTTATACTAGAGATGGAGAGCACAACAACCAATGTGATGTTATCAGCTCTGCATTTGCCGATCCGTCTGCCCAGAGTTAATCAGTATGAACAATAATTTTTAACTTAGTAATTTCACGCTACCATTAAACTATGTTTGCAGCACGAAAGGGTCGGCCCGACCGGGCAATACAGATTACCAGAGTCAAATAGCAGTTTAATGCTGCTATGTTCCATATGGTGAGTGTAAAGAAATGGAGATACTTTTTAATGGTAAATAATCATTCCATCTTATTCCTCAGCGTTTGCATCTATATTTTGATCTTTAATCGAGGACTAATAGGTGTTTATAGAATACAGGATCCACTTACCATAAGGTGAACTGTGTGCCTGTTGGATACCCTTGTTTTATAAACAAAATGTCTGGTTGCTGGCAGATTCTGGAAAAAAAGCCGTAGTCACCTAATTAAAAAAAAACATTATGCGTAGATGATATGAGTACGTGAAGGAGGCAAGTAGTGTGTCAGGATCGTGATACATGAAAGTGCGTAATCACTGCCTACACTATTGGGTGACAGCTGTTTATACAGGAGTTTTACGTACGTATACAAAAAGTAAAACTCTATGTGGAATTAAAGTATAAACCATTTAACTGCATTCGAATTTTCCAACAAGTTCATTTCGATTACAGAAAGAAAATTCCATATATATTATTTAAATGTATTTGCCACGCACTTGCTGATTAGCTTTCATATTTACAGATCCAAAGGAAATTATGTTCCAGAGAGTGGTGTGAATTTCAAATAATATATATATTTTTTTTTATTTATTTATAAGGGTCACCGACAGATGATACACAGATACTAAAAACAAGATCCAAGCATTTAGAGAAACATGAAATGTGCTCACCCAGTTATAGGCAACCACAGCTTACACAGAGTAATGTTGCGAAAAGTTAGTTATCATAAAATTTAATATTACAGTAGCAAAATTGCGTATTTATGATAAATTAAAAAGGGTTTACATTCATCATTAAGATTCTAAATAAAATAACATTTTTCTTCTGAAAATATTTAAATTGTCATTGAACATATCTAAATCAGAAGGCCTAGATATATCATTATACAGTCTAAACATTCTGCATAATGCTGAATTAAGACCGAGGTTAGTCCTATGAGGTGGGACCATAAACAGCTTGTAGACATTCAATCGTGGTAATCTGCTTGGAGTATTAATGTTAACCATTTCCAGTAATTGAGAACAGTCGATGCCATTATTGCACACTTTATAGAGGAAGCTCAAATCCAAAAGTTTCCGCCTGTTATATAAGGAAGATATACGGAAATGTTTTAGCCGTTCATCATATGAAGTTAAGGAGCGATGTCGGTTAAATTTCAATGCTAGCATACTGAGAAACCTCCGCTGTACTCGTTCCACAATTCCACTCTTATGAACCTCATAGTAAGGTGACCAAACTTGAGAACAATATTCAAGGTTGCTTCGAACTAAGCTGTGAAAGAGTAGTAGTAAAGTTTGAGTATGTCTGAACTGTCTGGTGTTTCTACATAAAAATCCGAACATTTTGGACGCCTTCGTTATAATACTGTTTATATGTGGTACGAAAGACACTATCCAACACTCTACTATCCAACTATCAGTTTACTATCCAACAATACGCCCAGGTCTCGTATACACTCTACTTGATTGAGTACTGTGTTGCCAATTTTGTATGTAGTTTGGATAGGAGTATGTTTGCGAGTGAACGACATATGATGACACTTTTTAGCATTCAGAAGCATACTGTTTTGAGTACACCACTCGATCAATCTATCAAGATCGGCTTGAATAAGCTGGGAGTCTGCTGACGATCTAACAGGTCTAACGAATTTCAAATCGTCAGCAAACAGGTAAACCTCTGTGTTCAAAAAACATTCTGTCACTGAGTTGATCAAAATTAGAAACAAAAGGGGCCCTAAATGTGACCCTTGAGGAACACCCGAGGTTACCTTAAACGGTTCAGACTGTTTCCCATTAACAACTACATAACACTCGCGATGAGTTAAGTAAGATCTAAACCAAACCAAAATAGGGCCGCCAATACCACAACTACTTAATTTCGTCAAAAGTATCTCATGATCAACTTTATCAAATGCCTTGCTAAAATCAGTATAGATAGCATCGACCTGAGAACCCTGATCAACATGCTGGATAATATAATTGGTGAAGGCAATTAAATTAGTAGTGGTGGACCTATTTCTTGTAGTGTTATGCTACTTACTTATCATTTTACATTATTTTAAATTCATTTTTCCATTCTGTTTCGATTTTCTGCATTCACCTCAAAACTGGATATTTTACATCACCTTTATTTCCATAGGATCCTGTAACGATTTTAAACCATAAGAACACAATAAAAAATCATTTCTACTTCGTATTTTCACATTATCAGCACTTTTAAATTGGTGTCAATGGAGTCTACCTTTTTTCGATCTTTTAGTTAGTTTTCCGTAACTCTACAATCTCGGGCTTTGTGTGGGCAGTTGCGCTACCTTTTTTCCTATATCAATAATATCTCATTTTCCACTTAAATCTTGCCGTTTTCTTATTACAAGCCTAAAACTAAAATTTGACATGTTTTGACATTTTTGTTTATTTGGTCTCCATAGTAATTATATTCAAATTTGCTACCGATCTGTTGTTCCTATTTCGATAATTCCACATAAATACTCTTTTCTCTTGACCATTTACAAAAAATTTGCGTTTAATTTAAATAATTTTTCCGTTCTCTCTAGAAAGGTATAAAAGCCGAACAATCGGTGAAGAAAGGCAGTCTCGCTTCAATTCTCGAATTGGAAGCATCTCCTAAAGGCCTTATCCCGGGGCCGCACTGCCCCGGGATCCTGCAAGCCTCCACCTACACGTGAAGTCTTCGGCGAAGCCTTCTTCAAGCGCGGAGCCGCACCACTCCGGAATCCTACAAGCCTCCATCTACCTCGGAAGTCGTCGGCAGTCTACTTCAAGCGCGGGGGCCACACTACTCCGGGCGCTACGACTGCTTACTCCAGGCGCCGAGTGCACCTACCGCAGGCGCTACCTTTGGGCGCTGTAACTGCTGACTCTAAGCGTTGAGCGCATCTACTCCAGGCGCTACGTGCGCCGGCTTCGGACGCTGCGTGTGCTGGCTCCAGGCGCTGCGTGCCGTCGCTGCTAAGAAACCTACCTCTACAAGCGCAACCGGCGTGTGCTGGCTTCAGGCGCTGCGTGTCGTCGCTGCTAAGAAACCTACCTCTACAATCGCAACGTGTGTCGCTTCGACTTTTAGGCTCCACTACAACTCTATATTCCCCTATTCTCCTACCTTTATTTTTTTTGTAATCTAATTGTACTCTCACTTCATTCATCATCATCCTCATTTCATTTTTTTATAAAATTGTAAATATCTTTGAATTTTAAATATATTTTTGTTTTTGTTGTATTTTTGTTGTTTTGTTGTTCTTAGGTTAGATTCTTTTTGTTCTTTATTGTCGCTTCACGACATTCTAAGGAAACCATGTTGATGATCAGTAATTTGAAATTTTAGTAAATTATAAACATAAGGGTAGATTAAAATTTCAAAAACTTTAGGAAAAATAGATAAAATGGATATTGGTCTGTAATTTCTGATGTTATTCTTAGTACCATCTTTGTAAATGGGAACAATTTTAGCCATTTTCCAGTAGGTAGGAAATATTCCAGTTTTAAGAGATTCGTTGAAGATACAAGTAAGTGGCAATGATAGTTGCTTTGCACATTGATATATAAACAACGGCGGTAATCCATCTGGGCCAGGACCTTTATATAAGTCAAGTCTCTTTAACCTCCTGAGAATTAAATTATCCGACAGCATAATAGATTTAAGCGAGAATGAAAATGAATGGACACCATCGCGTTTTTGGTAACAAACTTGTGGATTTAGACTTTTACTATAAATAGATGAAAAATTTTTCGCAAACAGTTCACTTATGCTTGTTCCATCCACTTCAGTTTCATGGTCTAATTGCATACGGGATGGTATATTGCTACTATTTTTACGCTTATGCTTTATAAATGTCCAAAAATATTTAGGATTTGAGGTTATACTATGTTCAAGGCGTTTGTAATAACTATTATAGCACTGTTTCATTAAATTTTTTGTTCTTTGTTTTAGCAAGTCTAGGGCAATTTTATCCATCGGATTTTTATATTACTAAACCCTTTATCTAATTTTCTTTTTTTCTTTATTACTCCTTATAAGACCTTTTGAAAACCAAATTGGATACTTAATGTTTTTAGGTGTGGTTAGTGGAACATGTTTATTTATAGTAGCACGCAATACATCATAAAAACGAGTAACCATTTCATCAACATTCCCACATAATGCCAATCAACACTATCCAATTCATTTTTAATCGACTCATAGTTAGCTTTGTGGAAATTCGGTCTAGGTTGTAGGGATGGGTGTAAATGATTGATGGAGTGGAAAGTAATTTCAAATAAAAGAGGTGGATGAAAAAGATCAATAGCGGTTAATGCTTCGTCGGCTTCACCAACGCATACGTTACTTTCTGATGAGAATATTAAATCAAGCATTTTCGAGTTTTTGTTTTTAATGTAATTGAACTGCTTAAGATTATTCAGGGCCATAAACTCAGAGATCATATAAAAGTATTGGCATTGAGAGTCATT